CTTGAGTTTCTTAATTTGCAAATACATATTCTGAACCCCAAGACAATGCCAAAACCTCTTTGATTTTACACAAATGACAGGAACTACATCTGAATTGGGCTCTCAATAGGAAAATCAATACATTTTTATCATACCTCATCCAAGTTCAACATACTTTTATCAATTTAAAGGAACAGCATCCTCAGAGTCTGATATTCACTCAATTTCTATCAAAAAGTTACTCAGACAAAAAATATTGAAGCCAGATTGCCCATTTTGGTTAAATGCATCATTGTTTCTTTTATCTTATTAGGAAATATTCCAATTCATTCCAGTAATTGTGTGACTTCATCACCAGAGGTTAAAGTGGGGGTTTTTAATAGAATTATTAATTCCTGAAAAATGTTCATCATATAAATTAGACTTTTCCATTTTGAGACTTGAAGGGAATCATACAGCATAGACCCAACTGCAGGGATCTTGAGAATTATTTTCTTGGCAGCACGTATATAAAATATACATAAAAAGGTTATTTTTGTACCTGGAGGAGTATTTTACTGCTCATGAATAATCTTTTGGTGTGTGTATAATCAGCAGGCAATAGTTGTAAAAATAATGCATATTATGTTTGTAATGCATCAGTATATATAGGGGAATAAACATCAGAGAAGGAACTGTTTGATCAGAAGTAGCAATGGAGGAAGCAGACCTGATGGTGAGTCCACTGGGTCATGACACAACTTGAATCTCTGATCTCTTTTGATGTCCTGCACAAACACTCAATCACCAGCAGACTCACCCAAGCACACCCAAGACAAACACAAATCAGAGGGACACAAAAAAAGAAGATCCAACTCTATTTCATCACAAGGATGTCAACAGTATTTTCATCACAACACCAAACAAGGGATTTTGAGAGGAAATACAAGAAAGAAGAGCCTCTTTTTTGCTTCTCCGCCTTTTTTTTTCTCCTTCATACCCTATGTTCCAATAAGATTCAAAATTTCTCGTTTTTTTTTTTGTTCTTCTCCTTGGTACACAATTTTTATCCCAATGGTAACAGATACAAGCAGGTCCTATGTGCACAAAAAATTTACAGCTTGTTAATGTGCAAGCATTTTTCTTTCCGTCTTCTGGTTTGACAACTGCTGGAAACCTTGTGTCCTCTTCATCTCAGCTGTTACTACTTTGGGCTGCTGAATAATTGAGAGAAAAAAATTGAAAAATTGCACAAATTTTAAAGAAAGGAAGTCAAGAACTCACCTCTGCAAAAATATGGTTTCCTGTTCTTGGTAACTCAAAGATGGCGGTGGGCCATTGGTCCTCTGCGCCTCAGTGACCTCGGCTGAATGACTGAAAATAAATTCAAATTAACTTTCAGAATTTTGAAATATTCTTCAATCAAATTTAAATATGAATACAAATTTTTTTAAAGCTGTGGCACAGTGACCAAGTCTCCGATTTCAGCCTTTGAAGTACTATTTTTTCAAAGAAAGAAATGCAGTAATGCCCCAAAGCACAAAATGGCTTCATTTTTATTCATATTCAACTCAAGCAGCAAATTGGAATCAGAATCTCCCAAATTTCAACCACACAGTTTTATTTCAGTATATACCTGTCTATAAATCTTATACAAGACAAAATAAAAATATTCCATGAAATTTTCATGCTAATTCCAAGACCTTATCAGCTGATTTCTCAAAAAATATGAACAGGTTTCAGAGATATAAAATAATTCTTCTGCACAACATGCAGATATATTTATATTTGCTAAAAAAATTGGCACTCACAGTGAGGGCTGAAAGGAGTGGAAGGTTCAGAGTTCCACTCATCATCATGCTGCAAAAATCTGGCAGCCCTCATTGGCAAATCAGGTGGACGCATGACATTGGAAGGTCCCTGATGACTGTGTTCTGCAAAAAAAAATAATAATATGTTCAGCAAAATATTTTGCGAAAGCAAATTAAAAAATAATAATAATGCAACCCACCTTCTTCTTCATCATCATCATCAGCGTCATCAAACATTGGCAGCATCCCGCGTCTCACGTGATGCACACTCACAACCTTCAAGAAACAGATTTCATTCAAATTTTTGTCAAGATTTAGTCATTATTATTTTTTTGTTGGTCGTGCCTGTTCTTGCTCGCTTTCCTCGTCGCCGTTGTCATGGGTGCGATGGTGGTGCATTTCTTGGACCACGAACCCGGGCTTGTTGTTGTGGTGGTGGTTGTTGTTGTTGTTGTGTTCCTCGTTGTTATTGTCGTCCATCATGGGGAAAAGGGGGTGGTTGACCTCAGCTGCTTCCTCCCTGCTGTTGTTGTTGTTGTTGTTGTCGTTGTTGTTGTGCAGCGTGGAAAAAGCAATTTCGGAATAACATCAAAACATGTTTCCATCATTGCGGCACCAATTACTTTCAGAATGAGAGAAAAATATATTGTTGATGAATGAATGCCGGGAAATCGTGATGGAGGAAAACAAAATGGAAAATTCGTATTTTCCCTTTTTTTTCAATGTAAGTAAATCGCTTCCTCCGTTGATTCATTGCTGGTGAATTTAAAAAATATATAATCTTACTTCAAATCCTATGGGTGGTACTGGATGTAATTTAAAACAATTTTTTTTTAAATTTAGAGCATGACAAAAATTTTCATAGTTTCAAAGTCAGAAATTCTTTGTTCAAGTCCAGCTCTTGGAATAAAAAAATTAGGTATATTTTGAAATGGACTTCCATTAATTTGCTTGCTGTGCTCAGAATTTTGCTCACGAGGGGAAAAAAATCGAAATGAAACAAATAATAAAAAATAAAGAGAACTGAATGTTGTTTCTGAAAATGAGTTTATGACTGTTGACCATATTTTTGAAAAACTTCCCCGAGCTTAAAATCTACAAACTTGTATGAAGAATAATTTAAAACATTTTTTAATTTAGAGCATGACAAAAATTTTCATATTTTCAAAGTCAGAAATTCTTTGTTCAAGTCCAGCTCTTGGAATAAAAAAATTAGGTATATTTTGAAATGGACTTCCATTAATGTACTTGCTGCTGTGCTCAGAATTTTTGCTCACGAGGTGAAAACAAATTCGAAATGAAACAAATAATAAAAAATAAAGAGAACTGAATGTTGTTTCTGAAAATGAGTTTATGACTGTTGACCATATTTTTGAAAAACTTCCCCGAGCTTAAAATCTACAAACTTGTATGAAGAATCGTGGTAAAGAACATTTAGTAAATCATTTCCTGAATAATGATTGCAGAGTGATGCAGAGAAACAAATTGCATAGAAAAATAAGCTATATGATTTTCCATGAAAGAAACTCTGGTTCAATAAAAACTTTAGTATTTTCCACTGAGCTTCAAAATTCAAGCTGAATTTTCCCAATATGAAGATACTTGCAGTGTAAAAATATATATTTTATTTTTGGAGACAGGTTATGTATTTAAAAATGAATTTGAATTCATCATTTGCTAAAATAAAACTGTGTGGTTGAAATTTGGGAGATTCTGATTCCAATTTGCTGCTTGAGTTGAATATGAATAAAAATGAAGCCATTTTGTGCTTTGGGGCATTACTGCATTTCTTTCTTTGAAAAAAACTGAAATAAAACTGTGTGGTTGAAATTTGGGAGATTCTGATTCCAATTTGCTGCTTGAGTTGAATATGAATAAAAATGAAGCCAAAAACACGAAACCCCGTAATGACGTAAAGAAAGAAACTTTTTTTTCTTCCTTACAAACTCGGAAACCTATCAAAACTTTTATAGAAAATGGATACAACTTCGGACCGACGACGACCACTCGGTCCTCGTGGGGGAGGTGGTGGGGGAAAGAGGCCAGCCAGGAAACCAGGGCGGTGGGCCAGGCGGGCCAGGGGCCCAACATCACTGCCCCCAAAATTGGGCCTTGAAGAAACAGGACGACCTTTACCGAACAAGAAGAGTACACCTGGTTGACCCCTGAGTTGGAGTTTTCCGTTACCGTGAAGTAGTGACAAGACAGATACGAACCGTAGAAGAAGTAGTGACCCGAAGGACACTTCGTTTACAGAAAATTTAAATTGAGGGACAAATTAAAAGGGGTGAATTCATCATTGTGAGATTGTTAATAAAATAAAAAATCATACTTACAATGGATTCATACACTAAGGATCTTTTCAATCAAATATTACTCTATTTGGATAATGAGTAGTAAAACTTTGAAAAAGATCATTGTATAAGTAGTGAAAACCATATATCATTATTGAGAATGAAACCTTTCAACTTTGAATAAATTTATTTCTTTACATTACATTTAATCATAATTTACCATGCTTGAGTTTGGAAGAATCACTCTGTCAACAATGCAATTGAAACTGAAGAACTTGAGGACTAAAATTAAAATTTCAAGAATTTTTAAATGTAGGAGTGATTCTTTGTCACCATAAAAGAATCCAGCATACAGAAATTACACAATTACACAAGTGCAAACATTCCTGGTACTGTATCATATAAAACTAATACTTGGATAGAATAATAACAAATAACATTTCTCAAACAATGTAATGTGCTCCAAAAAAGGTGAGTGTTACCATCACTTGTAAGTTCAGTATATGATCAGTAAAATGCCAAACCCAATTCCATGAAAACTGTTTATTGTTCATATGTATATGGAATGGACCATAACAAAAAACCTTTCAAATTTATTCAAGTGTTGCAAAAAAAAGGGCCAAAACTCTATCCAAACCTGGTGTTGAATTCAGGCCTGGGTCCAAGAACCTCGAGTAAGTTTTATTTGAGGTCTCCGGGGTTCCGGAAGTAGTGACGTCTGAGGTCCGACAGGTTTAAACCCGGTCCAGGAAGGAAGAGTAGGTCGAAGTACCCCTATTCTTTACCACCGTTCTGGGACACACCACCCATGGGTCTCAACCCCGAGTATCCATCAGAGGACCCACCGACCTTTTTCCAGGAACGGTTGTACCGACGACCCGAGTAGTATCCAGAGTAGGAGTAACCGTAGAGAGGAAGTAGGAACAGTTTCGACGGTTTTTTTTCACACATGTTTATAGCAAACTGCCATAAATAGAGAAATTATTTTTCAAAAAGCTTTTAAATTACATCATATCCAATTAACTTGAGGGAGATTATACGTTAAATTACATACAGTAAATTGTATTCAACCCTGCTGAGATGGAACATTCTCATCTTTAAATCGCCATTTTTTTAATGCAAAAAAGTTGCCTATTTTGGACCCCAATGTTTCTTTATACAGAAACTGTTTAGAATCCCTAAAAAGCTCTTTTAAACCCAAAAGTTATTCGGATGCTCTTTGAGAATAAACAATTTAAATTCACTTACAACTGTTACAAGTGAATAGATGGATGATTTTAATTGGGAAAGTAAATGTATAATGCAATAACAAAAAAGGACATTGGTTTGGGATTCTCCTAAAAGTGTTTGGGCATTTAAAATTTGTCATTTAAATGTATTCCAGACATAATTCCTTTCATTCGAAAATGCATTGTCACATTTAAAGAGTTTCATATTTAATTTGCATACTTGATATGTATATGCCAAAGAATATCGAAGCTAAAATACTTTTCAAAATTAAATTTCATTTCCATCATCAAGGCTGATGCAAAATTTAAATTTTCAAATGAACTCTTCCACTCTCTTTCAAATGATATCAACTTAAGCTGTTTAATGTTTTTCTCTTTCCTGTAGTGTCAATAAAATAATAGCCAAAATACCCCCAGAGATTTGAGCTATGAAGTTTGACAGGGAAATCCTTAAAGTTAACATATTGAGATTTAAAATGCTGTTTTCCTGAGGGAATTCATACAGGGACTTGAAAAGCAAAATTGAAGATTTTTTGAGTTATTGAGGTTCAACTTTTGCATGATCATTATTACTTTTGCATCAATATTTATTCCTTGTGGGCCTTTGCCCTAAAATTGCCAAAGTTTCTAACTCTAAAATTTGCAAAGATATTTGCTTTGGAATTTTGCACGTTGTAATTTGAACCATACAGGAAGCATGTTTTCTTTGCTGCTTTAATTTCTTTTTGGAAGCAAGTTTTTATTCCACAATGAGAGATTTTATTTGGTGATTGTGTGTGATTGTTGTCTTTATGAAATCTGTGATGAGACAAGAATACAGTCCACTTATGCACAATGTATTTGATTTGTGCAACAGACTAGTCTGCTGTGTGAAATATCTGTTATGTGAATTAAATTATTATATAAGAAAATGAAAATGTTTACTTTTTAAAATCAATTTTAAACCAACAGAAGTCTATAATGCAGACTTGATCCATTGCACAGGAGGGAAAACCAACCTCCAGAGCCGGTCTGTTGTGTGAAATTCTTTTGTGCAGGAGGTATTTTGTGCAACTGTATAAGTCCTCTTTTAACATCCAAGGAGTGAGGATGCTCCAGCTTCTTCTTTTTTTGCATCAATAGTTGCAGATTTGCACTTTAAATTAAAATCCCTTTGAGGCTGGGTATAACTGCCTCAGCAATCAGATATGTCTCTTGCATCTATCTGGAATGTTTTCTTTGCAGCTTAAAATGCATAAGATATATATACAGTATATTTATTTAATATGACTTTTTGGGAGGCATTCCACTTATTATTAATAGCAGGAGATGAGGTTTGAGTTATTGAAATTCAACTCTCCAACAAGGAATACTGTAGTTCAATCAAGATTAAGACAATAAACGAATTGACATTGACTTAACAACCAGTGGTCTATTAATAATAAGTAACCAGCTTTAATATGATTCATTTTTTCAAATATAATGTGTGGCCCAGTGATGTGACTGGGCCACGTAACTGGACATGCCCTCTTCCATGTGTGATCTGATCGAATTTTTTAAAATCTAAAGTGTCTCCAGTTCCCAGGAGTAGCTGGGCACCCTGCTTGCATGTACATTATTTATTAGCAGTAGTATATTTAAAAATCTTGCTGATGATGCCAGGGTTGGCGGGGATATTTATTTTAATAGAAAAAAATTTTAAATTTGGAAAAAAAATATCCTCCCAAAAAGTTGACAAAATCTTTTCCTGTGGTGTCATTTGCCCAGGTGTGTCTGGGCATTCTCCCCTAGTAATATTAATAATGATGATAAAAAAAAAAGATAAACCTGGAAGCAATGGCAACCACTGGACCGAAAGGTTCATCACGGCCGCCACGGCAGAACACCTTGAGTGATCTCTGGGCCTCGAAGGGCAAAAACGTCGGCTGGCGGCGCTTCTCCAACACGCAGTTCATCATGGCTCTTTCTTCGTGCTCCA